ATGCTTTCTCTTGTTATTTTCAATAGAACTGTCCACATCATCAGGCATTATATAATTGAACATAACATTACATAGCTATTTTAATAAAAACACAACTTTGAAAACATTGTAGACTTGAAAGCAGTTAATAATCAAAACCAGAATGGATATCTTTTACATCTTGTCATCTTCAGAGTGATTGCCTCTACTTTTAGACTTGATACTATCAAGCACTGCAAATTCAAATTCAAATAAAATCAGTCAAGGCAAAACAGTGGTCTAACAAACCAGCTTCAAATAAGATCAGTCATAGTAAGACAATGTTAAGTAATACAGAGTTTCAGTGTAAGTTAATAGGAAATTAAGGGTGGTTACTGAGGTATAACCTGCTATTTTTGGGTTAGCTGTCTATGCCCTAAATCTAATGAGTAGACAGACCAGAACAAAATAAAATCATACTAAACGGAGAGATAAGACTACTGTGACTGATACACTATTAACAATGTCCTCTGATCTCCTTTTTAGGCAATTTCTCAACTTTCCCCTTCTCAAGATGCTTTGTATATTTTGGGTCCCACTAGATCCTTTAGTTTTTAGATTAGGGGTCAACCGGTTATCTATCTGAGTGGTGCTGAACCTTTTTACCCCTGAGCTTGATCTTCGGTTCTACTCCTTAACTAAAGCCATAAGGTTTTCCTTCCTTCCAGCTGTGTAGTTCTACACTGCCCAAAAGTGTCATAACTTTCCAATTTATCTACAGCTGCAGGACGAGTGGTCCCAATTTCTCTCTGGTTTCCTGTCACATATAGCATCGTTTTCTTATCTTTGATTTTCAGTTTATTAACCCTCATTCAGGTTGGGTATATTTCCTATTCAAAGCATCTCGATGGATCCTGCCTCCTAATGTACTCTGCCTGTGTTTCTTTTTGTTAGTGTATAAAGGCTATCTATATTAAAGATTATAGCACGTTCTCTGCCTCATCTCTATTCTATTTTTCTACTATTATTTTGTCCACTTTACTCTTTCATTCCACTGTCTGCCCCATTCACTGAGGCCTCTCTGCCACTGCTGCTGAAATCTTGGGATTTAGCTCAGCGGCATAAGCGTCTGCCTTGCAAGCAGGCAGTCATGAGTTCGATCCCCGGTACCAATAAAAAGGAAAAAGACAAAAAAAAAAAAAAAAAAAAAAAAATCTTGGTTTTTTTTTTTTTTCTTTCTCTCTGGAATGTCCTTCAGCATTTTTGTAGGGTTGGATTAGTGGCCATGAACTCCCACAGTTCCTCCTTGTCTTGGAAATATCTTATTTCTCCATTAATTTTTTAAAAAAAATTTTTCATTTAAAAGGAGAAAAAGAAAAAAAAAAGTACAAGGGTACAAGTAATACAGAATTACAAAAAAAACGGGTAAGAAATCACTAGTTAATAGATTACATATTGTCATCTTAGAAATAGTTGTTCAAGTTACAGGATTAAAGCATACAAAGTGGACATTCAAACAGTGAGACTGAAAACAGTTGTGTCCAATGATCCAACAAAAATTCAGTAATATAGTCATCTATCTTAACACACCTAAACACACTTGCAGTTGTATCCTTTAGAGCACTTTTTTTCCTCTTTTTTACAACAAAATTTACACATTTTGGGTTTTATTACTTCCATAGTTATTGCTTTCTTTTTTGGAAGAGAATAAAACCAAATATGACAAAACAAAGCTGTCAGTCAAAACAAAGGATAGACACAGCACATGAGTACAAGGTTATCAACAATGGTTATCATAATGCCTCTTGCTTCCTTAAAAAGAATTGCCTATATCATTAGGTATAATAAAGTTAAACAAAACAGTATAGAACAAGACCAATAAAACCTAAACATTGGAAACATTACAGGACTTCAAAAGAAGATAATAGTCAAACCAGAATGGGCATCATAGTGAATCTTATTGCCTTCAAAGTAGTTGCCTATACCCTCAAACTTGATACTATCAAACAGAACGGAACAGAGTCTAATCAGTCAAAACAAGATTAGTGGGAGTAATACAGGGCTTCAAATCAAGTTAATAGGAAATTTAAAAAGTTACTATAATATATCCTGCTAATTTTTTTGATTTTTTCCCCTTAATTAAAAATTAAAAAAATAAATTTTTTAATGAATACAGGGGAGATTGAGATAAAAGAGGACATAACAACATAACAATACAGGTCAAAGCATGACAATTTCAGCAACCTAGTGCTTCACCACCAAATAACCCGACTTAATAGTAGTTACCATAGTGTCTCTTTCTTGAAATATTTAAATATAACTTTGTATACTATAGAGAGAATTTTTCCAGGTACATCAATCTGGGTTGGAGGTTATTTTCTTTCAGGGCTTGGACTATTTTCCCCCAGGCTCTTCTTGATTTGAGTTTGTGTTGATAAGTCTGTTGTTATTTTGATGATTTTTTCCTTTGTAGGTGATCTGCTTCTTTTCTCTGGCTGCTTTTAATATTCTGTTCTTGTTGTGGATTTCTGGGATCTTGATTATTATATGTCTGAGTGTAGATCTGTTTTGGTTGTAGATTGCTGGAGTTCTATATGCCTCATTATCTGGATATCATTTCTTTTTCCTATGTTTGGGAAGTTTTCCTTAATTATTTCTGTGAATAGTCTTTGTAATTCATTTGTGGTTACTCCTGCTTCTTCGCTCACGTTTTATTCTTAAGTTATAGATCCTCTTGATTCCTTGTTGTTTTTAAGAGATCTTTTCTTTCATTATCACACATTATAAATCTCTCTTCAAGTTTCGAAAGGCTAACTTTAGTTTCTGTCAAGGCATTTTGCCAGCTTTCAATGGAGTTTTTGTTTCCTAGTAATCTCTTTGTATCTGTTTCATGTATTCTAGATTTCGTTTATATTCTTCATCAAAGGTTTCTCCTCCTTTTCTGGGTTTCTCCGTTCTTTCCTCTGTTTTCTTGGAAGGGGCTTAGCATTTTTTTAATTAATCTTTTTATATCTTGCCTCATGTGGATTAGAATTTCAGTTTTAAATTCATCTATGAGGTCACGAAGGTATTTATGTCTGCTGATGTTGTAGCTAATATTGCATGATTGCTGCACTGGTTCTCTTTTGTATTTACCTCTCCTAGGCTTATTTTCCCAGGGTCAGTGGCTGGAGGTTTTTTTTTTAAATTTCTATATCTTGTCATGTTTCTGGTTTCTTTCAGAAAGGTGTGTCATGGGAGTCTCTGGTCCTCTCTGTATTGCTTAGGGTCTTTCCGAAGCATGCTGACTGGGGTTTTACTGCCCTCTCCATTTTGCTGTTATCTGAGGTGCATACAGGGACGATGCAGGCTAGCCTCTAGCCTCTGAGCCAGTCAACCCCCAAGTGCCTTCAGCAACTTAGGCCGGGCGGATATCACCGAGTCATGACAGTTTCGTCCCTGGCTATTTGGTCCCAACCAGGGGCGTGGCTCAGCCCAAGCAGATCCCACCAGTCCTCTCTAGGCCAGGGGCGGCTGACTGACACCACCACGGTGCCGGGCTCTGCCCCGCCCCACTCCAAGATGTCCTCCAGCCAAGATGTCCTCCAGCCAGTGACATCTGCAGTGGGACCAATCTCTAGCACTCACTGGGAATCAATGTAGTTCTCCATCTTGGCTCCACTCCACGCTGCACCGCGTCTTTCCGCTAAGGGCCCAAGACTCACCAATTCCCGTTATCAGCTGTCGTGGCTTCAGCATAACCTTGAATTGCCTGACTTCACAGTGCTCCCAGCACAGTGCTCCCAGCACAGTGCGGACCGGTCTCAGTGAGTGCGTTGGCTCCAGCCCTCAACTTGCGTTGTTCTTTCCACTTCCTATTTTTCTTTTCCCTTCAGTTTCCTCCTGGGTTCAAGAGAGTTCCTCTCCGCTCGTCTGGCCCTTTCCATGTGGTCAAATTCCAGCGTCTGAGCTGTTTTTCCACAGAGGCTCTCCACCCAGGGACCTAGCAAGTTGCCATCTTCTCTAGTCTTCGCCAGGCAAAGACTTAACACTGCTGAGTTAAATCCCTGGCCTTACCCAGTCTATCTTAACTCCCTTCAAGACTGAGGACACCAAGATGAGAATTTTTCAGGAAATGCAATTGCCAGATTTTACAATGTACAGTTCTAGACCCACTGGAGTGTCTCCTTTACCTTTAATTCCAAGGAAAAGCAGACCATCCCAAATCACTCCATGATGTCCCCAAATGAGAGGATAAAGTTACCTATGACAGACACCCTTGTCCACCACAAGAACCATCTTATGGGAACTGAATTGCTCTTCATGCCATAAGGACCTTTCTGGAGCCATCCAACCAGAATAAGACAACAAACAACCAGTCAGACCCACCCAAGCAAATCCACAAAGGCTGACCCCATTCTTTTATGAACAGTCAGTCTGAGCCTCATCATTAAGAGTATGCCATTCAAGCTGGACTTAACTTTCAACTTGCCCTGATAAATCTGCCTGTACCCATACTGAGGGACCCTAAAATACTATATAGCAAGAATCAACAGATGTGCTCCTGGGAAGAGCTAAGGTTCCATCTCCTCCTTTTGAGGACCTCCTCAAGCCCTGTTTGGTGACAAGACAAAAATGTAATTATTAACTTGCTTTACCAATATATCTTGGGCTACACAGTGAGCTCAAGGCCAACTTGGACTACAAGGTGAGGTACTATCTAAAAAAAAAAAACCAAAAAAACCACAAGCATTTTCCTACCCCTGTAAAACATAATCTTGTCTGTAGCTGCTTTACTCAAAATCCTGGCAATCATTCTACATAGGATCTTATCAGACTTGTCTCTCCTCCCGTCCTCCTATAGCCACGTAGTCAGTATTTTATTCAATTAGTCCTCAATTATTTCTTGGGTTGCTATAAGTACTATTTAAAACAGCAAAATTAACCTAGGTATGGTACACACAACTTTACTCCCAGGTACTCAGGAGTCTGAGATAGGCAGTATACTTGAGCCTAGGAATTTGAGTCTCAGAAAAAAACAACAAAAGAGCAAAAACACTTACTTGGATCATTTAGGTCTGACAGGCTTGTTTTTCTTTCTTTCAAGTTTGTGATTTTGGGTATTTTTGCCCCAGGTAAAATGACTTTTCCATTAGTCTGTAAGTAATTATGTCTACTGTCATCAAGACTCACAATTATATCAAGTGGAACGTTTTCCACACTGTTCCCATAAAACTTCTTGGCTGTCAATCCTGTGGTTTGTGACTTTTGTCCTCCAGAATTATGATGAATTGACGCTCTTAATAATGGTCCAGTAGATTCATTCAAAGTTACAGCTTGTCTGCAATTTCTTTGCAAATCATTACGAAAAATAATACCACAACTTTGGCATTTGGTCTGATTTTCTTTTTCTTTTCCACATTCTGGGCAACAATCACGTTGTTCAGAAACCTTGAGTTCCAAAAAGAACAAAAGAAATAAGAGATTTTGGTATTTTACTTAAAAGTCAAGGAACTCCCTTTAAAATGTTTCAAAGCTCAGCTATTGTCTCCTCATTTCTCTAAGAGGAGACTCTAAATTATGTTATTTGGAATTTAGCATCAGAATGCTGGAAAGAATGCCAGTATCACCTATTTGAGCAGTTAGGTATGGTAATTTATTTCTGTCCTTAAGAATCTGAGGAGGGAGCTGGGTGTGGTGGCTCATGCTGTAATCCCAGCACTTGGGAGGCTGAGGCAGGAGGATTATTGCGAGTTCGAAACCAGCCTAGGGACAAAGTGAGCTCAAGGCCAGCCTAAACTGCATAGTCTCTCTTATGAGAGACACTGTCTCAAAAAAAAAAAAAAAAAAAAAAAAGAATCTGAGGAGGCAGAGTATGTGAGTACACCATCCAGCTGGGTACTGACTGGCTCTAACACTACCCAATAATAAAGCCGAATGGGACACATTTAAGGGAAAAGAACTTCATAGAAGAAGCTGTATATCCAGGTATTTCCTTTTATAAAATCACTAGTAAAACAGAAAAAGTACACCCCTACTGAAATTCCCAATATTAAGATATAAAAGAAAATATAAACTGAGCTACTAGTATAGAAATAAATATTTTAGAATTCTTTGCAGCAATCTGGGACATAATGCAGATCAGTTAAAGTGAATAAAACATCATATTTTGCATGATATGAACTAAATTTTATTAACCTAGTGATTTAAAAACTAAAATCTTAATACTGCTCACCTAGTTTCAGTAAAATTATTTATTTATTTATTTAGGTACCGGAGATCAAACTCATAACCTCATACTTGACAGGCAGGCGCTTAAGCCACTGAGCTAAATTCCCAGCCCAGTAAAACATATGTATATATATATATATAAAAGCAGTAAATAAAGATTTTATTTGAAGCATAATTTCCTTTTGTAAACAAAAACTGACTGAAATCTCATTTCCTCCTTTTTCTTCTAAGGAAAACTTTTGTCTTTTTGGTACCTTCACCTCAAAATGATCTTCCTGCCTCAGGCTCCCAAGTGCTGGGATTACAGGCAAGCGCCACCACACCCGGCTTTTTTTGTCTTTTTGTGACAGGGTTTCACTATGCAGTTCAGGCTGACTTGAATTCATTTTGCAACCCATGCTGGCCTTGACAATAGACACTGGTGCTCCAACCTCTGCCTCTCCAGTGCTGGGATTTCAGGCCTGCACCTCTACGCCCAGATGAAAAAAAAAATTTTTTTTGGGTCTTTTTCATTTTTATCGGTACCAGGGATCGAACTCACGACTGCCTGCTTGCAAGGCAGGCGCATATGCCGCTGAGCTAAACCCCCAGACCCCCCAGCTGAAAAATTTTTACGAACTAAACAATACCAAATTACAGACGTGAGTGTGGCTCACTGTTCTCGATTTGTGCACTGGAAGACGTGGGTAGGCCGATACTATAAACTACCTACAACTCTCCACACAACTATATTTAATAAAAAGGAGCCTGCCTTTGATGAGAAATCACTGAGACAATGTTACTTTTACTACATATCAAAATGTTTAACTGGATTAAATTCAAAGATCTTGTTTTCTTTTAAGAAACACAGAGTGTGGAGATTCAGAGTACAAATGGGAAGAAAAACCAATAACCTCGTTCACAAAAATTACTCAAGAGGCTAGCTATAATTCTTAATTTCCACTTAGAAAAAATAAGAACAATTGACATGGATTTTAGGCATTAAAAATTATGAAGTTTTCAGCTGATATGTCTAGTGAAAGAATGCTACTGTGTTGCTATTTCTTTTCCCATTCCTTGTTCTCCTTCACCTGGGCCAAGCAGTGAAGATGCCTGCATGGCCTGGGCCAAGCATAGGTTGGGCAATCATTCCCAAGTTAGTCTAAGGAGTCACAGCAATTAAATGCATCATATGATCTTCAATTAGATCCAGTACCCATAAAGGACATATATGTGAAATCTCAACAGTTTGTCAAATAAATAGATGGTTATTTTGCAATGCTGAGGGCTGAGAACTGCATTTTATTAGTCACAATTTCTCTTTGAAATGCACACATAAACACATGAGTAAGCAGCAATTGTTAAATGAGTGAAACGTTAGGAGGTCAGCATGCCTACAAATTACACTTAAATGATGCATATATGTTTATGTGTATGAGGCAAAAAAGGGGGAGGAAAATACAGAGAGAGAAAACAATAAAAAGCAAATGTGGAAAATGACAATTTTAAGAGAAAATATAATATCCTATTATTCCCCTCACCAACTTTATGTAAATTCAAAACAAACTGCAAAAAACATTTTGGTAGAGAAATTATCTGTAATATGTTACACGGATGAAATAAACTTTTGTTCAGAAAAAAATTCAGTATTTTGAACAGATTTAAAAAATGGTATATTATCCTTGTGAGCTAGACGGCAGGAGTTTGATCCTGGGCAAAAATAAGGTCTACTGACAGTAGAAAAGTTTGCTTAAATAACTTTCCAGGTTTTCTCTGGTCCTATGATAAAAGATCATCTGGCATTTAACAAGCTCTAAAAACAGTATTAATAAAAAATTCCACCTGATTACCAACAAGGAAAATTTCTCTACCTACCTCTAAATGGGTTAAAAATTTTTTTGAAGCAGGACACAGAGAAGTAGGCTGGTATGTACTACATTGCCGTTTCTGTTGTACCTTCCTCTTAATTTCAGGCTCTATATGCGATTCGGACTGTTCTGTTTTCTTCATTATACGTTCTACAGAAAGGAAAAAAACAAATGTTCTGAAATTAAATTTAACAGATTTCTCATGATCTTTGCTTTAACACACCAGTTTATATTTCTAAATATTAAGGTGGGTTTTTTTTGTCTTTTTCCCTTTTTATCCGTACCAGGGATCGAACTCACGACTGCCTGCTTGCAAGGCAGGCGCTTATGCCGCTGAGCTAAATCCCCAGCCCCTAAATATTAAGTTTTTGTTAACACTGTTTGACAATGCACAATAGAAAATAACCAAAACTTGTAGTCTGTAGAGAACTGTCTTGATTCTTCTTGTCTATGCTTAACTCCTCAGCAGGATCTCCATACTTCAGGATCCTGAGTTTGAGGCTAGCTGGGCTACATACGGAGGTCTTGTCTCCTAAAACTAAAATGAAGAAGGAAAGAAAAAAAAAGTACTTCTCTACTATACCTCAAGTGTTCTAACACAAAAATATGATGCTTTCATTGCAATAACTGAAATATTCATTCCAACACCTAAGATGAAAAACAATTTAAATCTCATCTTGGCAAACAAAAATTAATAATGATGTTCTAGTCTTACTTCCAAACTTTATCTCAAAGAGGTACATTTCTCCATGATGTTTTTGCTTTCACCCAGTTACACATATGTTTTCTTCATATCAATGCCAATCCAATCTTACTAGTGAATTCAAAGCCTTTTTTTGCTAAGAGGCTGTCTTTTTCATATAAGTGGTACAATAAACAATCCTGGAAGTTTCCTAACACTTTATCAATGCTTATATAAGCAAACACTCATTTTATTTACTTGTACTAATCTGTTTCACTTAGTAATAGTTTTGCAAGAGCAGAAATCATATTTTAGTCACGTTTTCCCAGCATCTAGAAACTACATGAGGTAAGAATTAAACAAATGTTTACTGCATTAGTGAATCACATGAGGGGGACAAACCTGTACGACACATAAGAAAATTAAACTACATGAGTGTGGGGAAGACATAATGTTCTCATGTTATCTCTGAAGGTGGCTTACCTTTTGTTAGACAGATGACAATTCATGCACAGATTTATAATTTTATAAACCTAGCCTCCAGTCATCGAGTAGAACTGAAAGATGCTTCTTTTTTTCCTTTTAAAATCTTACATCTGAGGTTACAAAGAAGCTGTGCCCATGTAGAACATTTAGGTGTTAATTATTTCCTGCTTGCTTTGTCTTTTTGAGACAGGGTCTAACTATGCAGTTGAGGTTGGGTTTGAGCCAACTTTGTAGCCCAGTTTGGTCTCAAACTCACAGTGATCCTCCTGCCTTAGCTTCCCAAGTGCTGGGATTACAGGCATGTACCACCATGCCCAGCTGGGACAGTTTACTTTAATTGGTTATAAAAAAGCAATTTCTGGGCCTGGGGATTTAGCTCAGCGGCATAAACGCCTGCCTTGCAAGCAGGCAGTCATGAGTTCGATCCCTGGTATCGATAAAAAGGGAAAAAGACAAAAAAAAAAAAAAAAAAAAGCAATTTCTATACATGTGATTATTAAAGTTCTCCAATGTGGCACCAGTGGAAATAAAGTGAAAGGCAGTATTTTGGAAATAAACAAATACACAATACCTAAAACATGCCAACTACTTATGAGATTTACCACAACCACCCAAGCAGAGCACAGTATTCCGTCTAATTAAAAGTCTCAGGTGCAAGGGCCATTTGACTAACTCCAAGAATGAGACCAGCCTGAGAAAGGCCCCATATCTCAACACACCAACAAAAACCCAAAACACACTCACTCCTCCAATTTTCTGGCCTTGCTAAAATCATTAGTATACAAGGGAAAGCCTTTCCCTCATAAACATGTTTCACTAAACTTTATAAGCTACATAAAATCTGTGTACATCATTGTGCTCAAATATGTATCTGTTAGAACAAACAAATTCATAATACAATGTAGAGAACACAGTACACACTGTATTAAAAAATAAGTGGGTAGTCTTTCCTTACTATCTGTTGAGAACCTGTTTTAGGACCTCCTCAAAGATAACAAAACCTGCAAATGCACAAATAACCTACATGAAATGGGATACAAATAACCTATGAACCTCCTGTATACTATGAATCATTACTTATAATATCTAATACATATTATAAATGCATAGCTGACTATATATATATGATCCACAAGATTATACTACATTAAAATGATAATACCAACTCTGCCTTGTTGAGAGGATTCTATACATATATAAAAGATTGTGTCACAATCCCACAATATAATCACATTAAAATGCATTCAAGCTAAACATAGAGGCACATACCTATAATTTCAACACTCAGAGAATGAGATTGGGAGGATGCTAAGTTTGAGCCTAATATGGGCAATTTAGTAACTTAGTGAGACTGTTTTATTTTTAGATGAGTCCCACTAAGTCACTACATTGCCCAGGCTGACTTGAATTTGCATCCTTCTGCCTCAGTCTCCCAGAGTGCAACAGATGTGTGCTGCTAATATACCTAGCAAGCTTTAATTTTGTTAAAACTACAAACTGCTTATCATTGCTAGTAAGTGCTGATCTATGTCTACAAATTATCAAAATTCATGTTAAGTGCCTCTTAGATTCAAAATAAGGAAGGCAAGTAGAATAAAAAAGTAATAACCTAGGGTGTTAAGAACAACAAAAAGACAAAGAGATTTCTTTCTTTTTTTTTTTTTTTTTTTTTTTCAGTACTGGGGATCGAACTCACAATAGCACACTCGCCAGGCAGAAGCTTATGCTGCTGAGCTAAATCCCTGGCCCGGATTTCTTTTGAAGAGAAATCTACTCCAGGAACTATGCCAATTAACTAGTGATCCTAGGATAGCCAATGGAAATCCTAAAACAAACTACAATCTTCATGAAACAATATATTCAATATTATTATGGCCCTCCTATTCATCCTATGCCCAAATATATATTCACCTACCAACATAAAAAAAAAGCATACAAAAGAAAGCTCTGTTAATTTTCAATGTACAGAGGTCCATCAAAAGAATGTACACATTCTCCAGCAATTTGTCATACTAATAAATGTCTGGAAGCTAATGAACATCATTTTGAACACCTCTTGTAGAGACTGAAGGTAACTTGTATTAATCTCATGATGGTTCAATACATTTAGTATTAAAATATTTGTATAAGATTTTCCTGATGTATACTTTTTTTGGCAGACTGTATTTCAAAGATGCAGCATCTCAATATAATTCTCAGGGCCAGGGATTTAGCTCAGTGGCCTAAGTGCTTGCCTAGCAAGCGTGAGGTTGTAAGTTCAATCCCTGGTACCAACAAAAAAAAAATTCTGTTCCTTAAAAAAAAAAAAAAAAAAGTTTACAAGTTAAATATTCCAACAAGTCTCTCCTGAAGACTGTAAATATTGCCCATGTGAATCTCATTTATTAATCATCAGCCCAAAGATATTAAGAACCACGTAGAGGTATAATTCTGCTCTACAAAAGAATTAATAAATGTAAGAGATTAAAACAGAAAATGACCATTAGCCAAGCATCAAATAATAACTGTTGCCAGCAAGACTCACCAATAAGCTGGAAGTGGTGGTGCACATTTCTAATTTCAGCTACGTGGAGACTGAGTACTAGGTCAGCCTGGGTAATGTAGCAGGACCCCGTTTCAAATTTCAAAAATGGGGTTGAGGAAGGGATATGGCTTGCCTACTGTTTGTGAGGACCTGGGTTCAACCCCCAGTGCTACAAAAAGAAAAAAAAATTCTACCAATGGATGTTAATAAAATCTGTCGGTGAAACTTTAAGGAAAAGCAGAGTAATTAATAGTCTTGGAGATATCATTTAATATCTTTACTAAGTATCAATGGAAAATAGTATTTTATATTAAAGAAACCCAGTAGAAACTACCTTAGCCAAGTGATCAAGGTATGTATCACCAGGAGTAAGGTATATGAAGATCATGTGATCCTTGATAATATGCACTGAGGTACAACATTCCTTCCGTAAGTCTTGTCAAAATGTATATAATCAGTCTCATAATGAGACATCATCAAACACAAACGGATGGGGGCTGGGGATTTAGCTCAGCGGCATAAGCACCTGCCTTGCAAGCAGGCGGTCATGAGTTCGATCCCTGGTACCGGTAAAAAGTTAAAACAAACAAACAAATAAAAAAACACAAACAGAGGAGGCGTTACACAAAGTAGCCAACCGAGTCTTCAAAACTGTGAGGAAAACTAAGACCTGACAACTAAATGCAATGTGGACCCTAACTGGATCCTGGAACAGAAAAAGGGCATTAGTTAAGAACTGATGAAATGTGAATACGGACAACTGCTTAGTTAAGAAGCTTGTATCAATGTCGGTTTCTTAAGTTTTGATAAATGTACTATCTATTAGAAAGATATTCACATTAGGGAAAGCTGGGTGAAAAAAATCTCTAGTACTAGTTTTAGAACTTTTCTGTAAGCCTTTAATTACAGCAATATTTCTGTTATCAAATGCCTCCAAACTTAAACTTCCATTACTTGAATGGCAAAGTCCAAAAGAAAATTTGCTTGGTGTTCGTACCTTTGCTTGAGAGGTTAACAAAAAACCAGACTTGAAAAAATCTGTACAGGCTGAGAATGAGTCATAGTTGCTGCATTTTGCTGTGGACACAAAAGGGTGACATTGCAGTCTAAGCACCACTCTCACCCAGACATCAAGTAGTGCTTGTATTTTATTTTTTGTACTTTATTTGCATAAAATATAACCATGGTTCCAAAGAAAGTTAGTGATACCAGTAGTAAAGCTAAGAGGAAAATTGTGAGAACCACAATGATTACAAGTCATTGAAATTTGTTGAAATCCTGGAAAAATGAATTATAAGTGTAATTTTGAGTCTCAGAACCAACTATTTGGTTATTTCTCATGGGAAAAATTATATTCAGGAGCCAGGCATGGTGGCTCATGCCTATAATCTCAGCACTTGGGAGGCTGAAGCAGGAGGATCACTGTAAGTTCAAGACTAGCCAGGGCTACAAAGTGAGCTCAAGGCCAGCCTAAACTGCATAGCAAGACCCTGTCTCAAAAAGGGGAAAAAAAATTACGTTCAGTTCTTGAACTTTTCAGTGTTCAAACATGAATTTGGAACAGAGTTCTGCAACTGAAGTATCACTATATTTTAAAATGAAGTTGAAAACAATAAAGATTAAAACTATTACCTCATGAATGGTCTTTAATTTGTTATTTATACTGAAACTGCCTGAACTGTCGTATCTAAAACTCAATCACTTAAAACTCTCTAAAATGCATTTGTTAAACGGATGTGATAATACTCGTGCAATTCTGAGGATTAAAAATGACTTTTTATGTGACCGAATAGGAAAATAATAAAATACAGGGTTTACAGCATAGGATTTGGCATCAAACAGACCTATATTCTGATATCAGTTCTACCATTTGCTAGCTCTGTATGGTTAAGCAAGTGTATTTAATCACTCTAGAGCCTTGGTTTCATCCTCCGTACAAAGCACAGGGAAAAGATCAACTTACATTGTAAGGATTTTGGATAGGAAGCCAGGATAACAGTATGTAAAACACTGGTATAGAGGAAGAGCTTGATTGACAAAGTGTAACAGAATGCTGAAAGCAGTCACTATCACTAAACTTTAATAAACACAAGCATGATTATGTACTGCAGATTATAATCCACATTCCAAGTGACTGCAATAAGAAAGGATAAAGTTTGGGCAATTATCTGTAATACAGAAATATGTTCCATATAGGTACAAAGGATTTTTACCCAAAAGTAGAAAATAAGACTGTTTCACAAAACAAATGCTTAGTTATCAAGAAAACCTAGCTATTTAAAATCATTTGTTTTTGGAACTAAGAGCCATTAGAATTTTTTAAACAAGCAAATTCTTGGGAAAATGAGGATATACACTACGAATCAGCATTTTAGATAATGAAAATCACTCTCATGGTGAAATATTTTTCTTAAATGTCACCTGCTCTTATTTTAGCATTAATGAGTTTAGTGAAAACTATTTCAAAATGAAACTTAGTATTCCATATATATATAATTTTTAGAAATACATTTTGGGGGCTGGGGATTTAGCTCAACAGCATAAGTACCTGCCTTGCAAGCAGGCGGTCGTGAATTCGATCCCTGGAACTGATAAAAATGGAAGAAAAAAAAAAAAGAAAGAAATACATTTCAATTCAGTTATTTCTATTTTGCAAGTATATTTCTATTCTAATGTCTATTATTAACACTGTTTCACTGGGTATGTCTTTAGTTTAATTTAGTTCCCTAATATATCCTAAATTTAGAATCAAATCATTAACTGAAAAGACAACACTGTAATACAGTTCTAGGTCTTCTATATTCAATTTTTTAAAAACAAAAATTGTACTCATTAGACCGTTATTTCAGTTGTATTCACTGGACTATAATCACCTCAATAGTATCACATCCAAAATTCTCAATCACTTACCACCAAAAGAATGTTTTGTTTGGTTTGGTTTGGTTTATGTAGGAACATTCTAAACTCAAAGAGTCTTATTTCTATTGTACCTTTCATGCACAACTCAAAATCCTTCACAAGTGTAACAAAACTACACACTTACCAACACCTTGGGGTCGACTTAACCTTACAAGATTAATTTCAACTTTTTGGACATGAGGTGGATATTCTTTCCTAGAAAAGGAAATTTATATAGTTTACTCAAACAAGAAATGCGGTTTTCAAAGTGAAAAAGTTAAGGGGATATTTATAATGCATTTATTAAAAGAAATCCTAGCTTCTTCATCATATAAAGTGATACTATGAAATAGTAAAACCGTAACTGGATATGGTGGCACATGCCTATAATCCCAGCTACTTCAGAGCTGAGGTGAGTTGTTATAGACAAGTTCACAGCCAGCCTGGGCAACGCAGATGACCTTGTCTCAAAATTTAAAAACGGATGGGACTGTAGCTTGGTAGTAGTAGCATATTTGCTAACAAGAGAGGTCTTGGGTTTAATTCTCAGTCCCACAAAGCAAACACAATAACAAAAAATCAAAAAGTGTATTACATAAATATACTAAAGTTTAAGGTAATATGCAATCCCTAATTAAAAAAAAAATGATTCTTTTACTCAGATTATCAATCTATCAGAGCCCATCAGAGGCAGGTAGTTTAATAAAAATAAATTCAGATTATTATAAAACCATAATAGTCATGGCTTTTATTTGAAAATTTTTTTATTTGAGACAGGTCTTGCCATGTTACCCAGGTTGGCCTCAAAGTCTTGGGCTCAAACAATCCTGCCTCAGCCTTCCAAGTAACTAGGACAATAGGTATATGCCACCACGTTCACCCTTGTCTTAAAATATTAAATTACTCTGCCAAATTTCATATATAATCAATTTTAAATACAATTTTTAGTAACTAAATGTGCTAAATACTATATCCATGCAAGTTCAAAACTCACTAATTTTGAGAAAAAGCAAAAGTCTTGTATCTAGTTGTGGAATAAAAGCATTATACAAGGAAAACTGCCTAAGTGTAACAGACTAGGGAGCTATGATTACTTTTTCTGCCTTAATTAAAGCTTCCAAAAGCATTGCTGTTTTATCAGAAAATCAAAGAGAATATTCTATTTGTTTATAAATCTATTTGCAGTACTGACCAATTTTTCTATTCTTGAAAGGATGTCATATTCTTACATTATAAAAGTTAAAACACAAAATGAAACTACGAAAACCATAAAAGGTGAAAATATTAACAGTGTTGACAGCAGTATTTCCCAAAATACTACTATTTGGAAAACAGTTGGCAAATACAGTCTCATGTTCCAACTAGTATTCTAAGTGCTTTGTATCTATTAACTTCTTTTACTGCACACAATAACCTTTTAAAGTGTATACTATTAGCTGATGAGGAAAGTGAGGTACAATTACGTTAACTAACGTGTGACCATGGTCATACAATTAAATGGATACCAGAATCTGCATACTGTCAAATGGCGTCAGTATTGATAACTAGGGCAACATCAGGAACAACTAGATAATTTCCACTCTGCATGGCAGATGGAAGGAGGATGGCTGCACCAGGTATCTTAGTAACGTTAATGAGACCATCTCAAAATAAAAGGAGGCAGGGATATAGCTCAATGAGGCAGTGGGTTCAAACCTTAGTACCACATACAAAGACTGCTAAAATAGATCAATATATACATGAATTGTTTATTTATATCACTGGAACTCATGGATACTTATTTTATCAATAGGGTAAAATAATCCAATTGCTATAACTTTGGCCCTTTCAGCTGACTCTTGTCCCTATGGTATGATACATCCTGTTTTTCACCATGGCAAAATTCACAAAAACTCAAGTCACCCATGCTAATCATCTCTTATCATTCCTATTTAGTATATATGCTGCTAAAGCAGTGTGTCTACGTGTACATACATGTGTGACTGCTGTTTTTTCATGTATGTGTGAGACTGCTGTTTCTTTCTTCTAAGAGGTCCCTAAAATGAGCCATTTCTTCACATTCCTTTTACTGCAAGTGGTATTTAAAAACCAGGATCTGGGCGATGTTTTGTTTTTGGCCTTCCTTTAATGGTAGTTCTTTTTCTATTAGTCTCTCCATCACTTACAACTAATGTCAACAGATGCAAATTTCTGCTAGGTGGTGTAGTACAAGGGAGTTCACTGAGTTGGAGTCCACCTTGGCCTACACAGAAGCCTTGAAGTTCAAGAACAGCCTGAACTATCTTTTAAAAAAAAGAAGATGACGACGTAACTTTCTACAAATATAACTACTCATTTGAGCTTTTTAAACTGATAAAGCAGTTTAATTTTCAAAGAAAGGATTAAAATCTCCATATCATATTTTTTGGGAGGGCCTGCGGATTGAGCCCAGGGTCTTATGCATTCAAGGCAAGACTTTTACCATTGAGCTACATCCCCAGTCCCTTTGCATTTTAAATATTTCAGGTATGTTCATGTATTTGTTATATTCTTATAAACTGTTTCTCATTTATACCAGTATCACCAAAAGAGAAAAAAGAATTATTTTAGCTGTTTATTTTTCTCTTTTGGAACTAATCATGCCTTTACTTGCAAATTCCAGCCTGAACCGTGTGGCAAAACCCTGTCTTGAAAAGACAAAAAAAAAAAAAAAATATATATATATATATATATAGATATATAGATATATAGATATAGATATATTCAACTGAAAAAATATATTCAATTGGATTACAATTACTGTAACAGCTAACAGAATTCTTGTTTTCCTTTCATCTGATTTTATTAGTGTTATGGTTGACACACTGTGTCAACTTAAGAAGTTGAACTAAGAAACTCAGCAGGAAGCCAGTATCCTTACTTTGTAAATATCCTCATTCTGTGCAAGGCACAGAGATTTTGTGAGTGCTATACTCGCCCTAGGTAGTTTTCCCTACTTTTTTGCTCTGGCTGCTGCCTTGAAGAGTTGCCCTGGTGACATACCACCCTGCCTTGGAACTAGCTTATAGACTGAAACCTCCACAGTGAGCTAAATAAATCTTTCCTTCCTTCGTTTTGAGTATCAGGTATTTTGTAACAGCAATGAGAGAAAAGTAACCAAAACAATTAGATTTTTAGATTTGTACATTATTATTTCACTCTTTCTTCTTTCCTTCGTTTTGGGTATGGAGTACTTTGTCCCAGCAATGTGAGAAAAGTAACCAGGAAAAAGAGGTTTTTAGATTTGTATATTACTATCTCACTGTTTCTTCTTTTCTCCTATTTTCACTTATCCGTCCCTTCTCCCCAATGCATTTAACAAAGTACTAGTTATTTTCTCTCAACCCCTCCTGTACTTGCATGCTTCTATTGCATTAACACATTAGCATGATTGCAGGAACTGGGATGTAGTTCAATGGTAAGCCTACAACTATATCCTCAAACACTTGTATTGCTAATTCACATCTCTAATTGAATGGGACCTTCAAAAGAAAGGTCTTTTGTTTTTCCATCTTACCCTTTCCAAAAATGATTGCTTTTTCTTCTGCTGTTCTACCTACCCAACTCCTAAATTTTGCTGAGACAATTTTGGATACTTTCTTAGACAGCAGGACTGATTTTCTTTAAAGCACATTTTGTTTAGACAGTAGAGCATTTTAAGTTTTAACTGAATGTCACTCAAGCTTTGTAATGGTGCCAGTTGTAAATCATTTATATAAAGACTGTATTTTAGAATCTAAAATATCTATTAGGCAGTAACAATTCCCTACAAAAGCTTTTATTCCATAAATATAAAATCCAAATTCAGCTTGCAAAGTCTTTTTTGATCTAGGTTCCAGCTCATCATGTAACTTCTTTACCTTTAGCTCTACCCTCTAGTTACAGTAGTCTTTTTTTTTTTTCTGTTCTTTGAACCTACTCCTGTATTTATAACTAATCTGAGAATGTCACTTTGAGATCATAAAACAGCTGACTCCTTATTTAGTCCCTGGTTAAACATTAGCTACATAGTAGTTAATTTCTGTTTGGAAGATGTAATCTAAAGAATACCACAGTGTCCTGCTATCATACTACATTCCAATTATACTTCTCTACATTTTAGTTTTTACTTATATTAACAACTTTTATCCATACATTATTAGTCTTTGACCTATCAGAAAGTCAACTACAGCTCTTTTAGAGATCTTCTGTTTTATATATCATCAGATCCTTATGCCTAGAGCATAGCACTTGAAAATTACAGGAAAAAAAAGTATGTCATAGCATATAATCAAGTGTATTTAATTTTACAAACAGCTGCACAAGGTTGTCAAAACAACCTCTGGCCACTATGTCGAGCTATAATAAAGTAATTAAAATGTGCATTTGTCAGTGGAAGTACAGATGTCATGATGTAAGCATTTGAAAGAGTTGGGCATAGTGTTGCATGCTTGCAAATCCCACTCTTGGTAGGGGGTAAGGCAAATGAATTTCGAGTTTGAGGCCAGCTTGGACTAAATAGATTTTGTCTCAAACAGAAATAAAAACACAAAAAAGGTCCAGTGAACTTGTTTCTATTTATGGATTGGTGGACTAGGGAGACAACTTAGCAGCACAGCATCTGGATGCCTGGCAAACATGAGGTCATGAGTTGAATCCCTGGTACCAAAAAAACAACCAACCAACCAACCAACGAAAAAACCAGTATCATTCTTCTCTATTTATGGATTTGAGAGGCTGGCTGAAAGCTGAACATACTCACTCTGTTCACTATTTTACTACCTAGTCTTTCCATGTCAAGCAGTATTTTCTCTACAGTAGGCTTTGTTATGCAACAAGCTGTCATTCTTTATCTTTGTTTAAAAAGAAGTCCTTAATTTGTTCTTCTCAAATACTCTTCTAAATTAAGAATTTGTCAAATTTCTTAAAATAACCAACTTACAGAGATTTTGAATAGAACCACATTAAGCTCACCTATTTTTTTAAATGGCTCAAATAACAAATTCTTACCAAGCAGAAACATATGTTTCAGATTAGGTTCTTTAAATATATTTATAGGGTATTATATAATAATCTCAAAACTGGGTATTCAATTTTAGGTGCTATGAGGTTATTTGCCTTTTCAACATATACTTTGATTGTGAAACTTTTATAGTTTTCAATGATACAAACAGCCCACTGTGGCATAAATGTTGTAGGTTCACCATAACTAGCGTACCATCTTATTCAACTGATTTTTAAAATTTTAATAATGACTTGTAATTTCAAGAAACAAGAAATCATATAAATATAATTTTATTTTCAGATACCTTGAAGCAGCAATTTAAAATTTAGTAGTTCTTACTGAAAACATTTGAAATTTATTTTTATAACCAAAGAATTCTTTTCCAGAAATGTATTCTGAGATGTAATTGAAGATTCATATAAAAAATCACTCACAAACATTTTTTCTAATAGTGAATGGGCAGATAAATGATGTATATATTATATATGAAAGGTAAGCTACTATGTAGTTATTAAAGTTATTTATAGAAGCCACCTTGATACAGGGAAATGCTCCAAACATACTGTTAGATGGAAATGCAGAACACACAGTTGTATCCTAACAGTGAAGCATTCTAAGAATTTTTTCAAAAATTGTACAATTTTCATTTATTTATTTAGGTAACCAGGAATTGAACTCAGGGCCTCACCAGGCAGGCACTGTTCTGCTGAACTATATCCACAGCCCAAAACACTGTACAATTTTAGAATGTATTTGTCCTTTCAAACATACCCTATAAGCAAATATTTCTTATATTTGCAACATTATGATATCCTTTTTCCTTCATGTTTCAAAATTTTCTACAATATGCATAATTTTCACAATAGAAATATTAACATAATGTGTCAACAGACTGAATCAAGAGCAAGGATACAAAAATGAAACAGCTCAAAATACTAAAGCACACATTCTAGATTGTTCATGCTGACATAGTCCATTTACAATTCATCTGGTCATCCTTCAGAAAGAATCTGAGTCCTTCAAATGATCAAAGTCACCCACAACAAAGAACCGGTAACTTTAAAAAAAAAAAAAAAAGTTTGCAAGCTCTGGAGCTTAATACTATAATTTATTTATTCTAGCTGTAGTTTAAGCTTATAACCTGCCTCAAGGTACTCAGTATATACTATACATGAAAAACACCCTAGAAAGGTTAATCTTTTAGACTATCTAGTTTTTATCAGATAAACCACTGTTCTGTGAGTATTTATTTCAGAGGTTTACAGTGTTATTCACAGAGAGGTAAAGGCTTAGGGGAACAAAATTTTCTAAGTAAAAACTGGTAACATAAGTGTTCTTATTTGAACTCTCTGATAAACACAACGTAACTTTAGGTAAGGACCCAAAGGGTATGGGCTACATTCAGCCTCAGTAACATACTCAGATATATTCGTAAAATCACTGATAAAACAGGAACTGCTTCAATATAGCTTTATTTGTTTGTTTTTTTGGTGTTCTTGAGAAAAAGTCTCACTATGTACTGCAGGCTGGCCTTGAACTCACTTATGTAGCCCAGGCTGGCCTCAAAATCATGGCAATCCTCCTGCCTTACTCTCCCAGAGCACTGGGTTTATGGGTGTGCATCACACAGTCCACTCAACCCAGTTTTAAAAAGCCTTAAAGTTGTTACAGGTAATCTTATCACAAAGACTAAAAGAATTTCAAATACCGGTTACTATTAATGTCTGTAAATTTCTCATGTTTACAGTAAGTCAATTTTAAATAATTATTTGTCCCTCACAAAACTTCTTTAATACTGGGCAAATACTATTATTCCATTTTAAGGCAAGCAATGAGCTTACTTGCTAGTTTTGCTACTATGTCAATCTTCTGACTTCTATTCTAGCACTGTTCCAGTGAGTATATAAACTACTAGAGGGCAAACATTTCTCTCTGCTCCTAAGAGTACCTGGCACATATGGACACTATTTAAATAGCTGCTTGAGATATCAGTTAATACGCATAAAACATCAAAGTAGTGGGAAAAAAGTATAAACACCAGAATCCAGGCAAGTTTGTTCACACCTGTAATGCCAGCACTTGGGAGGGCTGAGGCAGGAGTATCACCATGAGTTAGAGACCAGCTTTGGCTACATTAAGTGGAGTTCAAGGCCAGCCCCCACTATGTAGTAAGACTGCCTAAAAACCAAAACCAAACCAAATCAAACCACACAACACAACTACTGCAAAAAAGAAGGAATCTAAGACCTTTTTATTATTCTAATAAATAGTGCTTGCATTTTAATTACTGCAGCATAGTATACAGGCTGAGTATGCTAATTTCAATAAAACATGAATCTCTGTGATATGAATAACTGTATGAAGTTTTATAAGGTATGTTCCTAGCAGTTAAATTTAACATATTTCAGTACCCTTATTAAAAAAGTAGTCACTGATCAGTCAAAAGTTAAAAGATACAGCATTTGTATAATGCATTCAATTAAAGCACACAAGCTCGGAATGGTGGTTCATGCCTGTAATCCCAGCACTCAGGTCACTGAGGCCAGCCTGAACTGCACAGTGAAAACTTGTCTCAGAAAGACAAAAGACAAAAAACAAATACAATACAACAAATACAAATACCAAACCCACAGAGACTTGTTAAAAATTTCAGAATTACAAAATATGTTTAAATCTTTTTGCTGAAATGATCACCTTACAATCTCTATTTCTTAAATTCAGTGATCATGAAGTAAGTCTAATAACATATGCAAATTTCTCTTTACTTCTTTACATCTTTAAACAAAATTATAAGGTTGAAATTACAGAACTAGGGCTGAGGATTTCGCTCAGCAGCTTAAGCATCTGCCTGCCAAGTGTGAGGTCATGAGTTTGATCCCTAGTACAAAGAAGAAAAGAAGAAGAAAGAAGAAAGAAAGGAAAAGGAAAAGGAAGAGGAAGAGGCAGAAGAAGAGAAGAAGAAGAAAAGTTGTAGTAGAAGAAGAAAGAAGTTACAGAACTAAACAAAATTACAGAATATCTTTCTTTTGATACCAGTTACCCAAGAGTACTGCTTTAATCCCAGGACTCCTAACCTATTTGGGAGGTGGGAAGGCCGGGTTTACATAAGAGGCAAACCTCATGAAAACACGGAACAAATACATGTACAACAGATTTCCTGTACTTAGTCCTAGGGACAGTTACTCTTAGGGACATTTGCTTTAGAACAATTATCACTATTTAAAGAAATATGTACTCTTAAAATCCTTTTATGTGTTATTTATATCACTAAATTCTCTCCTAAAAAGATTATGTGGTTGCCAGTGGTTTTACAAAGGGAACAAATACAGAGAGAAGAGAAAGCTGATAATAAAATTCTGTTTCAAATTTTTTGGTCAGATACAAAGCCAAGCCAAACCAAGCCAAACCAAATCAAAAGACAAAGCTCAAGGCCAGGGATATAGCTCAGTGGCACAGTGCCTGCCTGGCACATGAGAAGTCTTGAGTTCAATTCCTTGTACTAAACACACACACACACACACACACACACACGTCCACAAAATAAAAACAAAACACTACCTCAAACCAGAAATAAATTTATGGTCAGAATAGAAAACTTTGCTGTTTAAGCTTTAACTCTGTTCTAATTCTATTCTCCTTATCCTCTGTACTACAGAAAATTACTACAAGCAGGAGTATTATCACTGAAATACAAGATTTTGATGTCTCAACTTTATGGGTCAGGGATTTGGCTCAGCAGCATAAGTGTCTGCCTGGCAAGTGCTAGGTCGTCAGTTCAATTCCCGGTACCAAAAAAAAAAAAAAAAAAAAAGCAACTTTATGACCAAGCAAGGAAATATTCTACTTTTTAATATTTTACTTTTAAAGTAAAATAATTAGCCATGAAAATATATGTTGAAAATTATACTGAAACATCACTCGAGTAAGCCAAATACCATGTTATATTATGTTATATTATTTATAGGTTTCTTTACATTAAAATAATAAGATTTAAGGACTGGAGACCCAACCCAGGGATACAGTGCTTGTCTACCATGCACAGGGTCTTATCTTCCCTCCCCAGCAATGCCATCATCATCACTATTGTTATCACCATCTCTAATAATAAACTCTAATGCAACAGATATTTGTTAAAGCATTTAAATAATCTAGTCTTTTACTGCTGTAAAATGCTCTCATTTCATCAGTATTAATCTTACCTTTCTTTTCGGTCCGGATTGCTTAAAACATGAAAAAGAAAAAAAAAGTAAGAGGCAAGACCTCATTGTAGATATATCAGTAGTTGTAGTAACTGTAGCTAATAAGGCAAAATTATAATGTGATCGATTTGTTTTAAAGACATTCTGTATATATTATATTCTATGTTTTCAGTCTTGTCTAAATTGTACCACTTGTTAATACACAAAATAATGTAAACAATTTTATATGATAGGAAAAAGATGGATATACAAATATATGAAAAATTCTGCCAAGGTCTGTATCTATTAAGCATTGAAGGTTATAATGTATGTCATTTTAGCATTGTTTTGTTAATAGTATTCAAGGAACAATGGCATTTTCTGAATGTTATAAAACTTAAGTGATTCTAAACCTACTCTATGATTATGGTATGATTATTTGTTGTTGATTAAAAAAATTTTTTTAAGGCTGAAATTTTTACACAAAAATCTTAAATATTCAACTTTAATATTCACGAGTGGAACCATGAAGTCTCCAAATTAGAATAAAACCCAAGATTCTCATCTTGAAATTATTCAATGAATTAAATATTCAGAACTAACAATAATAAGCAAAGCACAGCTCACAAAATTCCCTGACTTTTGTATTCCTGTCATGTAGAACACACAAGTAACAAATTAATCCTAACAAACTAAGAAAAAATATAGTAATATTTCATATAAACATTCAAGAAAAATACATACGTTAAAAACTTTTTCAACAATGAGGAAAAGAATTACTGTAAACTTACAGAGAATTGAAATTTAATTCTTAAATTAGACTTAATACATAATCTAGCCATTTAACTTTACAGTGGTTAGCCCAAAAAGTGAAAAGACGTTAGTCTTTCTATTTTGTTATTTTTTAAACTCACCTGGTATAAAGAAAACAGGTAGAATATAGAACCAGAGGTAAAAGAAACAGATTGGATTTTTCCAGTAAACCAAGGAAATTAGGAAGAAGGAAAAATTCTTTTTCCCTCTCATCTTATTCTTCAGAAAAATAAATTTAGCATATAATACATAAGTTACAGTATTCCATAAGAAGCTTCAATGAGTTTGTGAAATCCTGCCCTACAGGAGCCCACATACACATTCATATAAAGAACAGGGAGGTCATTATTAATCACATAAGTCTGTACAAATGTCGATCTAATTCTTGGACTATTTCACACAAAATGGAAAGGAAAATTTACCTTCTATTAGTGCTGTTTTGGCAGTCATAACTTTTTTTTTTTAAGGGAGGCTAAAAAATATCAATTCTGGTACCTATGGCTTGATTTACAGCCAAAAATTCTTTTAAAATGGTGCTTTTTGTTAATTGTTAAATCTGGCTTATTCTAGCAGCACATTTTCTCACTCAGATTATACACATTTTTGCAGACATTTATTCAATATCCCCTTCCTCTGCCAGTTGAAAATATAATACCATCCCCCAAGATGTTCTGTTTCTTTAAATCTGCATCAAGGAGTATGGATGGTATAGAATTACATATTTTTAAAAATTTCTATATTTCACTTCCATAGTAATACTATTTTCCTTTACCACTGCTAGTGTATGGACAATCTGTCTTTTAAACATGAATAATTAGTATCTGAAATAGTACTAAATAAACAGGCTGGAATTTTAATTATCTCGCAAAGACTAGCTCAATATTTAACAATCTTCACTCATTGTCTTTTATTGCTGGTTTTTTATTTTTTTAGACAGGGTCCCTCTATGTATGTCCAAGATAGCCCTAAATTCATCCTGTAGCCCAGGCTGGCCTTAACACACAGCAATCTTCTTGCCTCAGCCTCTAAGTCTTTGGATCACAGGTGTGCATCACCACATCAAGCTTAACTCATTCCTTTTTATATAAAGATATGTTTAGAATGTGCTTCTGTTATCTTTCTAAAGAACTATAGATGACTCATTTAAAAAAGCAAGCTATAGATATATATTCAGAACTAACAGCACTATAATGTTACCCCAAGAATGTTGTGTGTCTGAATTATCAAACTGGTGGCATTTCTTTCAATATCAAATTTAGATATAAGAGACATCAGCAGCTATGAAAGCCAGTGTGTTCCTGGTCACTTTCACTTGAGTCCTAACAATTCTGCTCAGTGCCAAATATCCTAAGTGAAGTTTCACGCCATGCATTTGAAGACGTGGCTGCTGTGGCATGAGAGTCCTCTTTAGCAGCACTTCCTTTGCTGTAACTTCTTCCTTGATCAATAGTATTAGTACACATATGTTGTATATCTCTACTACTGCAGTTACCGGGTATTTGTTAGTCTTGTCTTTGAATTCAAAATCTTTTTACTGAGGGTCCTACTGCAGGTAGAATAAGAAATGTTTATTCTTATACAGAGTAAATAAAAGACAAGTCAAGTCCTGCTTACTTGACTCTATTGTTTTATTTATTCCTTCTCATCATTCTTCTCAAATATTTTCACTCATGATTACTTAATGTTTGAGTACAAATTAATTCAGGTTATCAGTTTTTTAAGAAGCAACATTTTACTGCTTAGTACTAGCTCTTATACACTGAGCCGAATCATTTACCAAGACAGGCAATGGCACATATTAAGATATAATAGGTGCTGAGACTCATAATAAAATAAAACATAACTCAATTTCCAGTCTGAAATCATTTTGTAAATATCCCAATGAGAAAACAAGGGACAAAGAATGGGTTACTATGTAAATAATTCTAAACAGGTAACTTCAAAAGCACTGTCAACTTAATAGTTTTGGTCACAAAATGTATCACAACTTGATTATAAGCTTCAATATTTCAATTTAGGTCATATAATCAATCAGAATACCAAGACAACAGTATCTATTTGTTTCTATTATGATTAATATACAATTATGTGTCTCTTTTTCCCTTCCCCTGATTATTTTCCTGTCTTCTTCTGTGCCACACACATGTAGGCCACAGAGCTTAATTTGTATACTTTGCACAATAGGGCAAGCCCATGTTTGGTATGTTTAATCATTTGTTTTTTGTCTTTTTAACTGAATTTTTCAAATATCTTCTGTAAAAACACTGATAGGAAAAAACAAGCAAAAGAAAGGTTAAAAAATCTTAAGTATAAAAGAGACTTAAGATTTTTATGTTATAGCAAATCTATGTATATATCAAATATGGCAAAAATTACTAAGGTTCAAGACACATTTTATCCTGATATAGGAGCCCAAGTTCAAGGCCAGCCTGGGGAACTTATGGAAATCCTGTCTCAAAACAAAAATAAATAGCTGGGTGTGCCGGTGCACACTGGTAATCCCAGCATTTAAGAGGCTAGTCCAGGGGGAGCCTAAGGCAGGAGGATCACTCGGATACATAGTGAGTTCAAACAAACACCCTAATAAATAATTAAATAAGAAAAAAGGTTCAGTGCTCCTTGGGTTCAATTTCCAGTTCTGGGAAGGGGAACCCAAACCTTAAAACTAAACATTTCCTTAATGAACAGCACCCTAGGTTGACATTTTTAAAAGATGAAGGCCAGCATCTAAAATGTACAACACCTTTTTAAATTTTACTACTTTTTGAAAATTATGATGCAAAAGACTCTTTAACTGCTAGGGCCTAGCAATTTGAATCAATTAAAAGGGAATATTAACATTCCAAAAATGGTTTCTGAAAAATTTCCAAAGTATTTAAAATATCTGAGCTTTCTCCAATTATTACTTTCATTATTTGAATGTCGAAGCAATACTTTCAAGATCAACAAGAACCTTAAACATATAAAACTACTGAAATCAAAATTTTCTAAAATATTTAAAACTATTTCAATACTGTATGAAATTTTATAAACTTTAGAAAGCAAGTAAAATAGTAACTATAGCTTTACCTTTCAGACCTCAGAATATCTCAAGCAAACACTTATGGTTCAAATTATAAATAATTAATAATAAATAACTTAAATATCTTCTTACATTTGGATTGCAAAAGAATGGCTTATTTTAAATTATTTATTTACAGAATGTGGCTATTGCAAAGACAGGACATAAAATAAAAACTTTCAGATGATGAATTATTTCAGAGATAATATCTCAGAGTGAAAATAGTTTTAGAAAGGAGACAAAAACTTTTTGGGGGGTTTGTTTTTAAGTAAAACTCTCCTTTTAAGGAAGGTGGTATGTATATACTAAACAAAGAGAATTCTAATCCTTACCTTTGGGCTGCTGTTTTTACTACTGGTATTTGTACATGAGCGTGATGAAAACGTCTACCATGAACTATAGTTCCAGAACAAAATGATGCATTTTGTGTATTTTCACTGTAAAATTCAAAAAACATAGAATAAGCTGAATGGGGAAAATCTACATATATGTTGAATCCCACCCCCCAAAATTCTTTAAAAGCTGAGCACATACATAAAAATCTTTACTACTTAAAAAAATTTAGCCATGTAACACTGTTTATTAGGAATCTTCTATTTCTCTAATTCTTTCAAATGTTTCCAATCCAGTTCAAGGAAAAAAACAATAAAATACTAGAATTAAAATCAGGATTTCTAAATTCTAACTCTGGTTCTGCTACTAACTTGAAAGCCGTCATGAGTCTTAGCTATCTATAAATTGACAGAATAGGAAAAATAATAGCTTTTAACCCTATATATGGGTTGCTAGTGGTAGCCAAATATTAAGTAGTAGTGGTTCGCTATAATAACCACCAAGAAACCTGGGTTACACCTGGAAGATAAGAGGAACAAGAAATCTTTAAGGAAAAGAAGAAAAAAGGCCCTATTTAGAGAATACTATGTCTATAGTATTCTCTAAATGAGATGACCATTATTCAAAACCTAGAAACCAATGCAATCAATCCTACTGATGCAAAGCAAAGAATCCTTATACTGAGACCATCTTAACTCTTGGCCTACTGACAAATTTGAAAGAAAAAGTATAGAATGGAAATACTGGCCACAAAGATAGTTATTTCATGTGAAACCCTCATCTTTTCTGTAGCAAAGTGTGACGATGCACCTATACCTCAATTTCTTATTGTTGCTCAACATGTTAAGTCCAATCGGGTTGCCTTTCAAAGTTTTAAAACTTTCACTCTTGTTTCGTCCCACATACGTCTTCAAGATGAAATCACCAGAACTAGTAGCAACAATTTCAGATGGACGATTTAACTGTAAAAAAGATCCGTAAGTATTAAAGAGTCAACAATATATCAACAACTACTTGAAAACTCACTAGAATGAGTAGAACGTACAGCTTCTGAGGTGGAGAGGGAAGGCAACAATGGACCTGAAAGTAATTCAGTTGCAATCATTTTTTTCTAAAGACAATATAAATTTGTAAGAACACGGGAACTATTATTTTCTAATCAGGTAAATCTTCCTGAAGATATCTGAAAAAATAAGGGTAGCAAATCATGGTATTAAAGTTTTTCCAGAGTAAAAAACAAGCTTTCTTTCTGTTTAGAAGGCCATGGTGCTACCTATACAACAGTACTGCAAAAGAGGACTGCTAGTTATTTAAGCAAATAACTTTCTGTAAGGAATTTTGCTTTTTAAATTTTTAGAGAAACAAACTGTGATACGGCTGTAGTATCTTCACAGGTACAAATGTAAACATATTAATAACAATCCAAAGAAACCTACCTCGGTTACATTCATTGCTCAAGAGACTAAAAAGCTGTTTTCAGACTGGCAAAAGTCCTCAGTTGTTGGTGATAATTTTTCAAAAATGACACTTAAAAAAAAAAAAATCACTCTAATTTCTTTTTGTTGGTTCAATATGTTGGAGGTCTCATTGTGCTGCCCAGGCTGGCAACAAACTCCTGAGCTCAAGTGATGCTTGTGCCCCAGCCTTCCAAATAGCTTGTTGTCAGGCAAGTGTCACTGTGCCTAAACACTAGTGGGTTTTTTTTTTTTTGGTTTTGTTTTGTTTTTTAAAGATAGTCTTGCTGGTCTTGTACTTCTGATCTTCTTGCCTCTCTGAGTGCTATGATGATAGGAATGGCTTCCATGCCAGCATTAATTTCATTTTTAAGGCAAAATTTTAGTTTTCTTTTTTTATTCATTCACAAGAAGCTATATTCTTATGATAGTAACTGGATGTTTTCCCCTAATTATTTCTACAGAAATCTCACAGTATCTCAAAAAGTATATTCCACAAAAAATACTCTGAGGAAAGCATTCAGTGAGCCAAAATTGTTCTTACTTTGTTATGGATTTACATTTTCCAATCCAAAGTATCTACTTTTGACACAGTGTTTCTTTTCTCTTCCTCAAGACACTCCATTACTTCCTACTCGTGATAGGGAACTTTTCAATGATATAGACAGACTACTATAGCATTCTGTCATAGATTCACCACCACTCTTTCCTGGGTAAACAGACTCTCTGGCACAAGACACTTGGAGAGCTAAACCAAGATTTGAGACTATTTTCCTATAAAGCACCTATTGATCCCAGAGGATGTCCCTGAGACTAAAATAAAATAAATTTCCAACATATTGACATAACTAGGGAGACAAAGGCTGGAGTTGCACAAAGTGAAAATGAACTTTGAACATATTCACATAGCTTGAGACAAATATTCAAGTTTTAAATCCACCAGGTACAGAGGGCCTCATAAACACCTCAAAATATGAATGTGGACTGTAGCCTACAAATATAAATTACAACTAGTACAACCCTCACAGATGTATATTAACCTACTTTCTAATAATTCGAATTTTCAGGCGGATTAATGTAACAGTGCTCAAATTTTAGATTACACCAAAATTAGCTGGGTGAATTATAACAAGCTGCTCAGCCTCAGCAGGTTTGGGGCTGACACTGAGCTCATATAGTCTTGCCTGCTAAGTGCTGGGATTACATGCATGTGCTATCATGCTAGCCTAATCTCTGTATTTTATACATAATAGTAGCTCTCCAGCAAGTGGACCTAAAAAAATCAGGTCAATTACTTGGTCTTATTGAGTGATATGCAGAAAATGCTCAAATTTTCCATACTTGTTCTTTTTCCTCAATAGAATCTCTCTCCCATGTGATGTAAACTTTGTAACAACTTTATCCCTGTTTTAAAAATTATTAAGCTTAAAAAGAAAAATAACATAACATGCCTGTAATGATTGCTGGTTAACCTACAAGGTTGGAGGCTAACCTACAAGGCATAGTGAGACCCTGTTTAAAAAAAAATTTTTAAAAGGCGGCAAGAAAATTTGCCTGAACTAAACTAGAACAAAGATTGCTTTCCCATAACTAACCTCGCAGGAGAAAATTTTATACGGTTGTTTGTAGAAATATAAATGTTAAATTTATAAGACACAATATAAAAGAAAAATGAAACTATGCTAAAAGGTTCTTTACATTAATGTGGAAATTAATCCTTTCTCTTAAGAACTGTTGAAGTCAAGATTACCTTGATATATAGGCATTCTGCCACGTTTCTCACTAAGGCATCACCTCCAACTGATTCTTCCTGGCAGGGCAAGGAGACCTCAGTATTGACCTCAGCCCTTTTTACTTACTTTTTATTTTGAGGCAGCGTCTCTAAACCATACCGGTTGGGCTTGAACTTGCAATTCTGCTTCAGCTTCCCAAAATGCTGAAATTATGGGAATGCATCTTATCTGCCTTCAAAATTTCTTCCTGAGAAAGCATGTGGACGTAACTACAGTCAATCTAAAGCCCACCATTAATTAGGGACAACCCCCTTCAAGTAGGGAACAGGTAGGATGAAAGCCTCCTTGAGCTCAGTTTAGAAGTTAATGGAGAGCTTTACTAGGGTAGCTAGAGGCAGCCTCTGCCTGTGCAGATTAGGCTCACACAATCAGAAAGACAATAGTAGTCAGACTCAACAATCAAGAAGACAAAAACCAAGAAACCATGTTTAGGAAGGTCCTAAATAGTGGCATTAACATAAACCCCTTGACCTAATCCTGAAACCTGAACTGTCACTAATCCCACCACCACCCATAATTCTAAATCTCCAACAAGCAACAGGAGTTTTAGGACCTGAAGAAACTCCTAAAGGAGGCCTAAAAACAGCCATGAAGTCAGTCAGGTTCCAGGAGCCTAAAAGGAGGGGAGAAATCCAATTAAAGAAGCTAGACAAGAAACACAGGCAAAATTCCTTTCCAGTGCTCCCTCCCTACTTGTCCCAAGTAGCCTCTCTTCCCCTTTCTCCCCCCACCTTCAAATAAATCATCTGCTTGTAGTTTAGTCTGTTTCTTTAGCCTTTTTTACGGATGCTGGGTTTAGGATATCGTGGAGCTGCATGTGGCATGAGCAGTGGCATGGCACGGCATATATCCCTCTCCAGACATTATAACCAAAACAACAGAATCTGCCACATTTAAGTAAAATTTGTTTAGTTCTCAATTCTGCTTTTTTATGATTTGCTTATATACTTTATACCTTTAATCAGCAATGAACAATTAGAAACTCCAGCTTTGTTATGTTTCTTACCATCTATTATATTTAGAATGTAGCTGGGCCTACGATCATTCCATACAATTGCGGAATATGAATTTGTAAAGATTTTCTTATCACACAAATTTATAACTATAAGGCATAACTCCAGCTGCCAGGGAATTCAGAGATCACTGTTGAGTTGAAATACAACCTAAATGCAGAGTAGTGGCACACACCTATAAACCCAGGAGGATCATTTTGAATTCAAAACCAACCACAAAGTGACTTCAAGGTCAGCCTGAGTTTTGTCTCAACAAAAAAGGGTTGGGGATGAAGCTCAGTGATAGAGTGCTTGTTAAGCATGCACAAGGCCCTGAGTTCATCCCCACCCAATGCCACAAAAACTAAACAAAAAACAAAAATAACAAAACAAAACAATTCAACAAAAATCACACACAGCTTAAAACTATGTTACACAATCTGGTACATTTACTTTGCAAACAGTTTTTATTTTCCATAATTCTGTGCTCTTAATTTGGTAACCTATATGAAATTATTAGGAAAAAATAAAGTATAAATAAGTAAACATTGAGCTACTTAAGGCTCATTATCTCACAGTTTACAGTATTACAGTTAATAAAATCATGATGATATATTCTGTCTGGAATCTATCTGCCCTTGCCTGCCAGCCTAAAACAGTTTTCCAGATAAACAAGCACAGGATCAGGAGAACTACCTAGAAGAGATGGCTAAACATAAAACAATCATACTACTGGAAAGCCAACTATAAACATAGGCTTCATTGCTATTAATTTTGCAACTATAAATATATCATTTGCAAAGGAAAACTAACCAGCAAAGATTCACTAACTACATTTAGTAATGCTAACAAAATGTAGCTGCTAAAAAAATGTAACTGTTATGAAAGACCGCTGGTGCCATGCATTTTGTGAGTTACATAGTCTCACATATCTCACAATGATCCTATAAAGTAAAACAGTTATTAGGCTTAGAATGTGGTACTGTCTGATTAACTAATACGCCAGCCACCTAGAAAGGCTTTATGTTTTTCTATCACAATGTGTAGAACACATTTATACAGTACAAATAGCTGCACTGAGACTGACAAACTTTTTCTGCAATATGCCAGATATAATTTTAGGATTTTTTTGGTTGTACTCTCTGTTCCATTTAACTCTATCCAGATAGTCTCATCTGTGGTTGCAGGACAAAAAGCATCCACAGACAAAACATGAAGGAATATGGCTGTTTTCTAGCAGATTTTTATTTATGGATATAAATTTGAATTTTATGTAATTTTTACTTGTGATACAGTAGTCTTGTGATTATTTCCCCAAACATTTAAAAATACAAAACTCATTCTAGCTTATACATTACTATTTGCAGGCTGTAAGTGGGTCATGAGCTTTATAGTTTGCCAGATCCTAAATGTAACCTAAATCACTAACTAATGAGAATAGCCAATTACTAGAAGTTAAATTCCACAGGAAAAGAAACTTGTCTATTGCTAGCACTGAGAACACTCTGCTCAATATACATTTGCTGCATGAATATTTCGCTGGGACTGCTAAATGTGCACAAATTATCAATATACTATGTTCCACTCAAAATTATATATCACATAATATATTTAAGAATGAATTATTCAGGAAGTTTCGCAAATATAAATTTCAGATAAGGAAATCTAAAACACAGCAAATTATTAGAAGCATTAAAATGTATGTTAAAACATTTAAATTCTAAAAATAAAGTAGAAATTGCAAAAAAGAAAGCACTAAATGCTACATGAAAAAAACCCCACAGTTTTGAAAGGCAACCAATAGAAAAGGTTTACAAGTGATAAATGTCATTGTCATTTAAAAAAATAAAGAAAACAATAAACAGCATATTAAATACAGTTGAAGATAAAAGTGAACTAAAAGGCTGTGAAAATTATCTGGAATATGAATAACGATTTTCAGTGTGTGTTCCTTTATTCCTGTTTTTTTTTTTAAAACACAAAATGCAGGCTAACTATTATGAAACAAATCATGGTCCTATTATGTCCACTTGGTGTCCCTTACCCCAATAAATGAGGAAGGGCAACTTTCAGAAATAACAGCCAATCCCCTTTCACAACAAAAGACATGTTTTTTATTTTTTATATAAAGTGACATGATGAAACAACAGAAGTCTAAAGGCAAAAGATATTCTACGGAACAACAAAAAATGATATTGTAAAACTGTGAGCCAAAATAAGGCCTTGTTCCTAAATCTATTCTTATTTTCAAATACAGAAAACATGCTACCAGGTATTAGCTTACACCAATGACCCACACAGACCCACATTACTCCCAAGTCATTCAAAAATCAAAGGATATGTGAGCTTCTTGGAAACACAAAGACTTTCTAAAGCATAAACAGGGATGTAAATAAACAACCAGTCAACTCAATCTTCTTTCTTATATCTTAAATACTGATTTACTATAAAACTCAACTGAAGAAAAGGTATGAAACAGTATTTCCTTTCCCACTTCCTTTCATAATAACCCCTCTTCCACTTTATAAAACAAAGCTCTACCTAAAGTCCAAAAACCTTCATGATCATCTGAAATACATCTAAAACCTCTTTTGTTGTACAAAACAGCTTATACCTTTCCAAATTTTATGTATATTTCTGTCAAAGTAAAGCATGGGCTAAAAACTAAGTATTTTAGCTGGATGTGGTAGTACATGCCTGTAATCCCAGCACTTAAAAGGTTGAGGCAGAGGATTACCATGAGTCTGAGGCTATCCTGGGCTACATAATAATTTCTAGGCCAGCTTAAATTACATAGCAAGACCCTATCTTGAATAAAGAAACAAAAACACAAACAGGTATTTTGGGCCACAGTAAAATGTGACTAATTCTGTTATACTTACAAACAGAAAAGCCAAAGTGATTAAAATTTGCAAATTTACTGAGAGAATTTAAAATCTGTTGTGCCTTATCATGACCACATAACAAACTAAGCTTAAAACCAAAGTCATATTTTTCTGTATCAGAATTTTACAATGAAATGATTACTATGAAAATGCAAATTTACATCTATACTGACATAAAAAACAGACTTTTACATATAGAAAACAGCTTAAATATATGAACTGGCTTTGTCAATTCAAGGGGGATGGGGCTGTAACCTCAGTTACTCAATAGGCTGAGGTGGGAGAATTACAAGTTCACAGCTGGCTTGGGCCACTTAGTAAGACTATCTAAAAATTAAAAAGAGCTGGGGATGTAGATCTGTGGCAGAGCACTTTATTAGCATATACAAAGCCCTGGGTTCAGCCCCAGTCTGTGTGGAAGGCAGATACGGAAGGAGAAAGGAAAAATTCCACAGTATTGGCAGAAAAACTGTTTAATGTAGTAACTTCTGCAATTTCTAGCTAAAAAAATAAAAATTCTTAATTATGACAAAACAGATGCTGCAGAGGAAGAAAATACAGATATAAAGGGAAATTTTCTGAGAAACATTATTTTTCATGGTGCGAGAACTCACACCTGGGGCCCTACACATGCTAGGTAATCACTCTATCCTTAAGCTACATCTCTATCCCTGAAAAAAAAGTAAATTTAAAAGTCCTTTAAAAAAAAAAAAAAGATTCCCAGGACCCTCCCCCTCCAAAAGTCAAAAACACAACAAAGTAATTAAATACTATTAAATTGTTAAGTATAGGAAATATGTAAAGAGTAGATTATGTCAAACTGCCTGAGGTCTGACCACATACGATACAAGGCTAAAAGGAAATAGGAACTCATATATTGCTAGCAGGAATGTCAGACATTAGCGCCTATGAGTTAGTAAATTTGTCAACAGCTGACAAAATTACATGTGAATTTGCCTCCTGAAATTGCAAATGCAATTTTAGGAATCTAGCTTACAAATATACTATACAGATATGTCAGATGTATGCATATTACAAGGTTTTTTATTAAGGCATTACGTGTAATATAGAACTCATATATCTATCTGTTTACGAACAGGGGGCTAACTGAGTATCTAGTATACCCATTGAGTGGGATACTACAACACTAAAAGGAATGATAATGATCTCTCTACAGAAGTATCTACAAAGTATACTATTAAGATTTTTTAAAAATTTTGTTTTGTTTTTTGGTACTGAGGATCAAACATACAACCTCACACTTGCCAGGCAGGTGTTTAGGCTACTGAGGTAAATCCCTAGCCCTAGTAATTTTTTTTTTAAATGTGCAGATATTTTTCTAAAAAGGGTGATATAAATTCCAGCACTCAGGAGGCTGAATCAGGAAGATGACTGTGAGTTCTGGCTAGTCTGGGCTACTTAGTGAATTCAAGACCAGCCTGTACTGTGTAGGGAGACCCTGTCTTAAAAAGACAGACAAAAACAAAAACAGTGGTATATACTTATACTAAAAGTAGTAATAATGAAAGGTTAAAACGTAATTTTTAAAACAAACTGCCAGTAAGGAGAAAAAGGATCACAGGAAATCTGGACAAAAACTAGTGACCTCAGAATAGAATTTCTTTTGTTGATGTGACATAAACTATGTAAATTTCTTTTACAGAATTATAAATTAAACCACAATGAAAAAGTTTCTTAAAATAAAAAACTAAGTTAAAAAAAGAACAACTCTCCATTCAGTTAGAAAAATTACCAACAAAAATAAGTTAACTTCAAGTGATTTAACTACATTCCTAGTGAGATACGTCTGCTGATGCCACCAAAACATCAGAGATATAAGGAAAATTATTCTTAAATAATTTTATTGGTATTTATGTCAGTATTCATACCATAAAAATATTTATATTTTTAATAAGACCAAGCAAGTAACTCAATATCATTAGGAAATAATAAATTCAAAAGCCATAAAAATGACTGACAGAATTCTGGGAGGCTGAGTCAGGATTCCAAGTTCAAGTCCAGCTGGGCAACTTGAAGAGACCTTGTCTCAAAATTTAAACCAGGGCAGGATGAGGTGTGGGCATAAATAAATTGTGTTAAAATTCAGCTATGTGCTGAATACTGATGTTTTGGTCAATGATAGACTGCACGTACAATAGTAGTCCCATAAGACCATAAAGGATGAAAACTTACTGTCACCTAGAGACAGAACAGCCAACATAATTTACTTGTAGTGATGCTAGTGTAAACAAACTTACTTGCAACCAGTTATATGAAAGTTTAACACATACAATTAAGTACAATATATAATGCTTAAAAATGATAACCATAACTATGTTACTGGCTTGCATATTTACATTTTTCCTGTTTTTAGAATAAACTAGTTATATAACAGAATTTTAAAAAATGTTTATTATATGTTGTTACATCCCACAGCAGCCTCACACATATGTTTACTGCATTTTTTGATCTACATTGAGGCCAAGTCTGGAGACTGACCTATTCCATCCAGTTTTGTGTATGTACGTGCTATAATGTTCATGCAAGGAAACGGCATACAAACACATTTCTCAGAATTTATTCTTATTAAATTATTACCTACTGCCATTAAGCAATGCATCACTATATTAACTAGTATCAAATCTAAGAAACCACTGTTACACTTACTATTATTGAAACTGTCACTTATCCTTATAAAATGTATAAATTTCATGTATCAGATGTGTCTTAGACAACATAAAAAGAATCCTTATGAATAAATAGTATTGTAAATACTACATAGAAAAATGGACACAGGATATTAATTGACAATTATCAAAAAGTAAATAGAAATGGACTACATATACAAAAGGTGTTCAACCCACAATAAAAAAAGTACAAATGAAGACTAGATGATACTATTTTCATTGGTAAAGATTAAAACGTTGATCTCACTATGATGGAAATGTAATACAAAACTAACAAATATCTCCACAAAAAAAAAAAAAAAAAGTAGCTGGAAATCCTATTTGCCTCTGGGGAGGGGAAGTTGGTACTGGGCTTACAAATTAAAAAATGTAAGCCTGTCTTCAAGGGGAGTTTTTAATATGTAACTTAAAAGAACAAAATTTTAAAAGCAACACTTGCCTTTTTTCCTTTTGAGGTGTCAGAATCATCATCATCTTCTACACTGAGTAGATTTGCCCCACTACATAGAAAATAAGGGGAAAAAATTTTAAGTAACAATTACAACCTGTGCATTAAATTCAGAAGATTTATCTTCTAGCTCAACTAATTCAAGCAATCAGTAAACTTTTTCAGTAAAGGACCAGATAGTAAGGTATTTTAGGTTTTGCAGGTTATAGGCATGATCTCTAAATAGTCTCATGTTTTCCAGTGTAGTATGAAAACAACTGTAAACTAAACAAGCAACTGTGTGCCAATAAAATTTTTTACAATCAGGTGGCTGAAAGGCAAGATTGAGATCATAGGCCACAAATAAACCTTATTTTTTAACTATGAATTTGGTGTATTTTCACTCATTTTTCCTTTCTGTCTCTGACATTTAAGGAAGCAAAACAGAGAAACAAAATACAGCATATCAAAAGAAAATACAGTTAAAAAAATCAACTAATAAAAAACAGCACCTTAAAAAACCAATATTTAAAAAATACAACCATGATGATCAAAATCAAACACATCTTTCTAAAGAAAATTTTGTTAGGTATTTTCTAGTAAAATTCTAGCTATTTATTTAAAAAATACAAAATTTTGGTTTACAATTTTGACATACAATCCAAAACTCGTTAAAGTTAAAAATTCTCTTATATTTTGTAAAAATGTTTGAAAAGAGTATACTTTCTTTCCAGCTGAACTTCATAATTAATTTTATTTTTTCACAACTATAAAAATACTAAATGTAACAAATAGTTAAAAAAATCACAAAACAAAACAAAAGGATCATAAAATTGTGACTTTAAAAGAGAGATTTAACTAGTTTAAAGCTCTCCTTCAAATAATACTTCTAGGTACATAAAGTGCTAATGATGAATGGAGCTGTGTTGCCCAGACAGTGAAGCACCCACAGTATTCCGTCAATGTTCTCTGAATGACTTGTGTAAAGTTTTTACAAAATATTTACAATTTTGCAGAATTCTGTGTGTTTATTAATGTTTGTCCAAATTTGTTTACTTGCCAGTGATTAACCAGATCAGTACAAAACTGAAAGCTGCTCAATATGTAGTATACCTCAAGGCATGTAATAAATACTACTGAAAAACTAAAGTTTTTTTTTTTTAATTGGTACGGGGGATCCAACTCATGACCACCTGCTTGCAAGGCAGGGGCTTATGCTGCTGAGCTAAATCCCCAGCCCAGAAAAACTAAAAGTTTTTATACAGTATTCATTCCAACTACATTAACAAAGTGTGATGAAACTTTGCTTAACTTCTGCCTGAGTAAAAATCTGGATTTATCATTTATAGTGGTGTTTTCTCTGATGGCAATCTGATCTAAAATCAAAGAGGTTAGTATGGTCATAACTAGGGAAGAAATACGTAAGATTAAAATTTTAATAAAAAATGGAAGCATCTTAATCTGGGGTTCACTTACACATAATAAACGATGGTTTTTCAAATTGCTGCCTAAACAGAATGCCTTTTCTTTAAAACAAAAGTCCTTAATTTAAACTCTGTTGTATGATAATTTTTAACCACAAATTTACACATAGTATATGCACATATTTGTGTATTTCAAAAGACTGAGAAACATAAGAGCAAAATAATTTACCAATAAAGAACTGCTGTGTCAATGACCTTAATGCTACCATGTAAGAGTTAAATTTCTACCTTTTTCCTGTCACTGAGAAGTAAACCCAGTGCTTATGCACTGAGTTATAGCTGTAGTTCCTTTAAAAAAATTTTTTTTTGTTTTTTAAATTTTGAGACATGGTCTTGTTAAGTATCTAAAATTGCTCACTCAGAGCTTGAATTTGCAGTCCTTCTGTCTCAGTCTCCCAGAATCCTGGAATTATAGGCGTGTGCCACCATAGCCAGCTTACATGTTTTTATAAGAGTATTATATTTTTAAAAATCTTTATACCAGGCATGGTGGCACTCACCTGTAGTCCCAGCACTTGGGAGGCTGAGGCAGGAGGACTGTATTGAATTTGAGGCCAGTCTTAACTACACAGTGAGACCCTGTCTCAAAAAAACAAAACAACAACAACAAAAATCTTCTCACAGAATATAAATTGTTTTTGTAATCAAAAGTTCCATTCTTATAAAACAATTGAGGGGAAAAAATCCTTACTCTTTATCTGTATCTCTTTCATTTTCTTCTTCATGATCAAAGCTCCAATTATTTTTAAAACCTCCATCTCTCTTAGACTCTGATCTAGTCAAAGCTGAAATAAAAACAAACTGAGATAAGTATTCATTAATAGAATGATTCAGTATATAATAAATTTGAGCATTTCTCAAGCTCTTTGATTAATTTTCCTTAATTTGGTTACTTTTGACTTCTTGTAAACTTTTTACTTCCATAGAGAAAAAGAACATGTTAAAATGTTTTTTTTTTTTTTTTTTTTTTTTTTAAGACAGTCATCCATATGAGAAACACAGCCAGGCAGTTAGCCTTTTCCTTAAATTCAATCACCTCTGCATTTTAACAGAAGACAGACAAAAGGTTCTTTGTATTGCACTGTGGTTAATTTTACGACCAGAAAAACTCTAGACCAGAACATCAAAGATGCTCAGACCAATGTAAAAAAAAGAATTTCCTAAGTACATGGCTTAACCCACTCCGCAACCAGCTCCCCTGATGTCACAAAATGAGAAACTCAAAAATGAGACAAGTGACATTCCAAGCTTGCATATGTCTTGGAGTTACATGACAAAAACCTGCTACCCTACCTTCTGGACTTTAAGTCATGAGAGAAGTCAGGCTAAAAACCAGAGCACCCAAAGGGCAGCATCCTGAGGAAACTCATTAAAGAAAAGACAACAGGGATAACTACTGATGTTTTACCCTCGGTTTTTGAGTTGAACTAAATAAAGACAAAATACATCTATCTACCTCACAGTTAGTGCTATAATCTAAATGTTTATGTCTCCTCAAAATTCAGATATTCAAATTTCTACTTCCAAAACGATGGTATTAAGAGGTAAATTTTTTGGGAGATACAAAACAGTCCTTGTAGATGGGATGGATGCTCTTATAAAACAGACCTAAGGGAGTCTGTTTGCCTTTTCATCATTGAAAGATAAAGTCACAAGATGCTACAGATGAGAGAAAGTCCATCCTTATCAGATCCTGAATCAGGAAACTTTAATCTGACTTCTCAGCCCCAGAACCATGAGAAATGCATTGTTTAAAAGTACCCAGAACATACTTACATTACAGCAGCCCAACTGGACTAACAAGAATTCCTAATAAAGTCCACAATTACTAAGAACTGATGTCAGAATTTTCACAACTTAACAAAGCACAGAAAAACTCATAATTAAAATAGCCTTCTCTTTGGTCACAGACGCTGAAGCAAGATGATGAAAGAAATATTTGTAAAGCACTGTAACAAAACACCCAGAATGTACTACCACTGTGGCTCTAAGATCTTTCCTGTTCAGAAGTTGCCCTGTAGCAAATGTGTACTTACCAAATCTAAGAGAAAGTATACTGGGAGAGCTAGGGCTAGAGGATGAAATAACCATCAGGACTATTCAAATGAAGCACTTAAAAATTGTGTGCTACAAATTTCAGACAAAAATTAGTTCATGTTGAGAATTTCAATGTCTGGCCAAGTAAATGTTCTCTCTGTCTCTCTGTCTCTGTCTCTGTCTCTGTCTCTCCCTCTTTCTGTGACATGGTCTCGCTATTGTAGTTCAGGCTGTCTTTGAATTCACTTTGTAGACCAAGCTGGTCTTGAACTCAGAGATCCTCCTGCCTCAGCTTCCCTAGTGTTGAGATTATAGTCATGCAATACCATGTCCAGCTTTCTAGCCTTTAAAAATAATTTAAAAGCCAAAAATCAAAACCCTCTGATGAAAAGATGCTCAACATTATTAGCTAACAGGATAATGTTAATCAAAACCATAATGAAATACATCTCACCCATTAAGATGACCTCTTTTTGTTTGTTTTAATGGGAAGCATTTCATGTGGGAGGAGGAAAAACTGAACTCTTGTGCTTTTCTGGCAGGAACATCAAATAGTGCAACCACTATAGAAAGATCTAGCAGGTTCTCAAAAAGTTAAAAACTCCTAATTATCAACATGATCTAGGTGAATTTGCAAATCTCACACACACACACACACACATATGCGCGCACACACAACAACATTATCCAGCTCTTCAAGGAATGAAATTCAGACACATGCTAGGCAATGGATAAACTCTGAAAATACTACACTTGGTGAAACAAGTAAAGAACAAATATTCAGTAATTCACTTCAGATGAGGTTCTTAGAATGGGCAAATTTATAGACAGAAAATAAAATACAGGTTAAGGGACAAGAGGGAGGAGTGGAACAGAGGTTTTTTTTTTTTTTTTTTTTTTTTTTTTTTTGTCTTTTTCCTTTTTATCGGTACCAAGGATCGAACTCACGACCGCCTGCTTGAAAGGCAGGTGCTTATGCCGCTGAGCTAAATCCCCAGCCCTTTTTAATGGATACAATTTGTGTTTGAAATGATGAAATAGTTCTGAAAATGGATGGTGGATGGTTATACTTATTAGCAATGCATTTGAAAACTTTAAATGGCAAATTTTATGCTATGAATATTTTATCACAGTTAAAAAAGAAAACTTTTTAAGTCGCAGGAAAGCCTCACTGTAACATGAGCAAGCATAAATCCTTTCTAAAAATATGTAAATCATTAATGCAGGCCTCAGAGACATAGAGAAAATGAGTCTACAATCAGAAACATGAAATAGAGGAAGCAATTGACAGATGAAGTTAAAATTTCTTTATATATATACTGGGACTGAAAAGATAGCAAATAACAGAAACAAGATTTTTCCCAGTCAGAAAAAGTTACAAATAAGCAAAAGAGGAAGCCAGAATGAGGCTGTGGTACTAAATTTGAGTCAGAGATACCAATACAAGCCCATGTTTACTAAATACATATACAAAAGGATATATTAAAACATACATATATTTATATATACACACACATATACAAAGACATGGATTAGCATAAACAGCTAGTATTGGTTCTAGAGGTCTAGAAGCAGTGATACCCCAAAAGCAATGAGCATGCAATCCAGTCTCAGATTCTAAATACCATTCTCCTGTGCGGACTAGGTGCTGCTAAGGTAGTGAAGTGACAAACTAATCAAAAAGGAGTAAGGGTGGGGTATATCAAAACATTACAGAAGCCAGCCTGAAAGAACTCCCAATAGTTAATTAAGCAAAGTTGGAACAACTTTAGCAAAATACAAAATAAGTAACATCAGCAATGGACTATAACCATCAAATAAAATAAAAGGGTATCGATAAGGAATATATCTTCCTTATACAAAATTTTGAAGTAATCTATGCACATTATCATTCCAATAAGAGAGAGAACTTATTAAATCTCTACCCCTTCAATATGGTCTGGCCTTGATAATTCACTTAAAAAGATTACGGAAAAGGGAGAAAAACTGATGCAGAAGAAATCCAACAAACATTCAGTCAAGTGATCAAGATTAGAATCAATGAAGATATGTCTTATTCATGGGATATACCCTTAATATAATGACGAAAGTAATATTTCTGATTTTCTTTTCCAGAATTCATAATATCAATTTATTCAAAAACAATAAGGAAAAAAAATCCAGCAAGTACAACTCAGAGCTACAAAATATCTGACCAATATTCTTTAAAATTATCAAGGCTATGAAGAACAAGGAAAGATTAAGAAAGTATCAGACCAAAAATAAATAAATAAATAAATGCCAAATCCAAAGCTCTGGATCATTAATGAAGTAACCAGTGAAATTCAAATTAAGTTGTTAGTTAATAGTACTATAATGAATGATGTTAAATTTCTGAGTTTCAACAAATACACAAATGACAGCTGAGTACAGTGGTCAACACCTGTAATTTAGCACATTTTGGAGGCTGAGGCAGGAGGATCTCAAGTTTAAGCCCAGCTGGGCAACTTACTGAAACCCTGTCTCAAAAATAAGTGCCAGGCATGGTGGCACACATTTGTAATCCTAAGCAGGAGATCAGCTGCGGGTTCAAGGCCATCTTGGGCTACAAAGTCAGTTCAAGGCCCGCCTGAACTGCAATGAGATCCTGTCTCAGCAAGCCACACACACAGTTAAATTCTACCCTCTGTCAGCTCCTTGCCTCTATCCTGGCAGCTGAGTGTAACTAGGACTTGCTATACCTTTGCATCACCTATAGAGTTCCACTATTTATAGCAGTCGCACTGTTTAGTTCCCACTCTTCTAGAGAGCTACTGTCTTGTTTACTTTTCTCTCATTGATGAGACAGAATAGAGGATGCCCAAAATGAAGGAAGGAAAGGTTTATTTAGCATACAGTTTTGGGAGATTTCAATCCACAGTCAGCTGGCTCCAAGGCAGTGTGGCATGGCTGAGGGGCAGCATGGCAGCTGCAGCAGATACCAGAAGTCACAAGAGCAAAAGAGCAAAAGGGAAAAGCACATCTCCTTCCCTCCCTTATATTGTATGCTGGCTACCCACCCCTGGATGGGTGCAGCACTCACACTGCCAATCCCAATGCTACATAATGAACCAATCACAAATGCTAGATTCAGCTGCCTCTGTGACTATGTAAGGCTTTGGAGAGACATTTAAAAATAAACCATAACATTTCATTTCTAGTCTTCTAAAGACTCATGTACGTCCTTTATGTAAAAGACATTTAGTCCATCTCCAAGAGTTGCCAAAATTCTAACAGTTTCAGCATTGCTGAAAAGTTCAAGTCCCAAGTCTCCTCCAAGATCTAAGGCAAACTCTTAGTTATAAACCTCTGTACCAATGAAAACAGTTAAACACTCCAACATACAATGGTACAAGATAAACATTACCATTTAAAAAGGTACAAATGGGAGAACACAAGGGATTAGAATCCAAACAAGTCCAAAATCCAGCAGAGCAAACATTAAGTCCTGGAGTTCCATGCTTAGTATCTGAAACAGTCTGGTTGTGAGCTCCAAAAGGTTTGGATGACTACCATGGCACTTTCGGTGGTTGTAGCGCCCCTGGATTCTCTCTTCAGCCCACATTACTCCCTCCTTGCAGGTTTCCTTGGATGATCCACACACCTGGCTTTTTGAAACTTCTGGGGTGTCCAGTGCACCTTTGGCTTCACATTCACAGTTACATACATTGACCTCTAAGTAACACACTGCCTGGTCTCCCAGGTCTTATGAAATTGGGGTAGAAGCTCT